TGAGAGAATGTTTAGCTTTAGGTTTTACCTGTCTTATTAAGATCCTGGAGATGCTTACATTTAGAATTTAAGTGGTAGATTTCCCACATAAGAATTCAGTAATTGTTTGTATACAAGTGTTTACAATTTCAACAAAGGTGAAAATTACTCAAAGATATTGAAAGGGAAGGAAGGAGAGGGAAGACTCTACCTACCCACTTTAAAATACACTGGCATGGCCAGTAAGGATACAACTGTATGAGACTGTCACTTTCTTTAACATCCCAAACTTGAGATGTTAGCTACATGAAGCTGTTATCTAGTACATCACTTTCTTATCTCAACTTTCAGAACAGACCTCCTTCTGGAGGAAGTCACAACAGGAGTCTTGCTGAAAGAACCAGTGGCGTGTACTTTCTTTGTGCCCGTAAGAACAAGAAGGCTAAAATGAGCATGCATGCCCAATTTAACGAGGAATTAGAATCTAGATGGCATCTGCCTTATCACAAGTATATTATATAAGCCAACAACAGGCTTCTTCAAGCTCCTCTGAAAGCTTCTTAAACGCATTAATTTTAAGTCTAGGAAAACTTCAAACAGATTATTCAGAGGTAAGCGTTTCCCAAGAAAGTCATACCCAGTAGTCGTAGAAATACTGACTGCACTCCAAGAGCAAACGAGCGCTGTTTGTCTGGCACACACCTGTAAACAAGATTTCCAGTTTAAGACTTGGTAAACAAGTTTTAACTGTTCCCTCAGTAAATGTTTTGTCTTAATATACCCTTTTAGCCTGTTAACTGCAGAAGGTTTTAGAAATAAGGCGTGCAGAACAAGTGACCAAGCAACTTCAAGAGGTTTTTTTAATAAGAGACAGAAGCAACTCCTACAGCTCATCAAGGAACTTAATGTTGAACTAGTTAAATAAAAACCCAGCTTACCAGCAGCACCCGGATAGACTGCTGATCATTTTTTCCCCACAGAACAACCAAGGATTTAAGGACAATGCTAGAATGCGGTCCTGAGCTACTGTTCCTAAAGAAGCAGTACGTGAATTGAGACTAGGCTTCGGCACAGCACAAGGTGTTGTATTTCCCATAACCTTTACATGCAGTCACCTGGTCTTACAGTCAAATCAGTTCTGGCCCATGATATACAAATATAATGGTTTAATAACTATCAGAATATACCTCCTTATGTCCTACCCATTTCTTTCAGATATTTCTTCAGCAACACACATTTTATTGTGCCAACTTCTTAAAAATACTACCATTAAGATTAAATATAACTTAATTTATACAATTTGGTTTCAGCACTGTTTACTTTAATAAAGCATATCATTGAAGCACTGTTAGTGCAAAGAAGATGGTATTTAAACATTCAAGAGTTAGTCCCTCATGCTGAAGTACGTAGGAGTATTAGCCATAGAAAAACATCCCAGATCAGCAGTTATCAGCAGTCACTGTTAGGAACCCCCTACCAAGTAGAGGAAGGAGAATGAGTTTTGCATATTGTGGGTGATGATTTCTAGAACCAGAACACTGTCAAACACACGTGGGTTTGCACTTGAAGTTGCACAAAAAATAGGCCTGTTGAAGATAAACATATAACGTAGTAACTTCTCACATTTAAATTAGCTTTTACATATCTAAAGTGCTGTACAGTTCTCTCTCCCATAAAAACTGTTCCACCATTTCAGCTGAAGTGTACAAGGATTCAAAATATTGCTTAGAATTACCTAAATAAAACTGTGTCAACTCAGTTCTGAAGATAATGCAATACCACATATTACTTTCCTCCCACACTAATACTAATACAAGCTGTTAATTCCAGATTTACACCAAATCTGAACAGGAGGCTACCACAAGGCACTGTTGAAGTGTATCACTCCCCACCCCACAACCACCCCTAGAAAGTTGCAGGAGGAGCACGTAACCACACACCCTTCCAAAGCATCAGGTGTACAGAGCATCTAGAAGCATTAGAACTACAAGTCAGATCTCAACGTACAGTGAGACAGCTCTACTTTCAGAATGAAGACAATGTATTAAAAAGAAGTGTATCTAACATTCACATCTGAGTGATTTGAAAGGCAGCCAAACCACGGGTTAACAGCCAGACATAAAATGTGACAGCATACATTAATGACTACCATGCATACAACACCAGTGTCACATGAAAAGCAGTCTACAGTTCTTGACCATCTACAATTTTGCATGTCAGAACTCTGAACTGAGGAATCAAAGGCTGAGAATGCAAAACTGACTGCTATTTCGTTCTTTCTTTGGCACAATCTGAAATCCTGGTACTACTGGTACACAGGCTAGTTGAATGTTTTCTTCAAGCACATGGCATATTTATTCCTTCTTGCTTTGACTACAACAATCAAGAGTGCTCCCATAAAAGAGTATTTAGCTACAGGTAGGAAAATTCTAACAGTATCTACTAACCGAGTGTAATTACAGAGATAGCGAACAGTGGTACTGCTTCAAGTACTGCCTGCTTATTAGACAAAGGAAATCCCTTGCACATTGATTTAAGTCCACATTCCAAAGTAAAACAAGTTAGAGTATTTCACTGATCTCAGTTTCCACAAGAATGCTACTTACATCTCAGCCCAAAAACCATACCTGAGAATAGCCACAGTTGTTGGAGTAACAGCCATAAATGTAAAAACAACAGCAAAAAAGAAGGTGCTCAGGAACAATGGTAGGAGTTTGCATTGGGTTTGACATTTCCCAGGGACAGCTTCATAGAGAAAATCTTCTGAACCATTTTTACTTTTCGGTTTCCCAATGCAGGAACAGTTGTGGTAAGTCTAAAAATAGTTCAGAAAACAAAATTCAGTTTTAATGACACTAAGTGACATAAATATTTTTAAAACCACTTCAACAGAACGTTATTCAGCTCACCTCAGAAAAACTACTCTACTTTTAACACACGAGCAGGAAATAATGCTTTATTGAGCAGGTGAAAAAATGGGATAGTTTTATGCCCTTTGTTTAAACCCAGCCAAGCTTGTTTTCAAAGGAAAAAAACTGTCTGTGAAGTCTTCACAGCAAATATGTAGTCTCCCTCATTTTCTTCTACATAACACCTTCTCATTTAGCATTGCCATTTTCCGATATAAAAAGTCCCCAGAGGCATCCCCCAGTTAAGCCTGACTACCTTTAAGATCCTCCCACACCACTGCTCAAAGAGTTTGTTGTACCAGTACAGACAAGCACAGAAGGTCCCTCAGTTCCAGGCAGGCTTCCTAAGATACCAGCCACTTCCACAGCTTTACCATTCCTGCATCAAGGCCAACTGACATCCAGGGTTTGGAAACTCACAGAAGCAGTTTGCAATGCATGCAGTAAATCTTTCATTATTCTTAAAGATCTAGATAAGAACTGCAGTTAGTGTCAAAGCAGTTGTTAATTCCTACTCTGATGTCAATTCCATTCAAGTACATTGAGATTTAACGTGTTTTAAGCATTAGAAAGTTTAGTAGAAGCATCATTTGCAACACGACTGCACAAGTGCCCTCTTTGCCTCAGTCTTCACTTTCAAGGGCACAAGCCATACCCCCCGAGTCACAGAAGGTAAGGGCAGGGATTGGGAGAATGGACAGCCACCCATGGTCAGTGAGGATCAGGTTCGGAAGCACCAACAGAACATGGAGGAGCACAAGTCCATGGGACCTGATGGAATACATCCGTGGATCCTGAAAGAACTGGCGGATGATGTTGAGAAAACTCCATCCGTCATAACTGAAAAGTCATGGCAGTCTGGTGAAGTTCCCACTGATGGGAAACATAATTTTAAAGATGGGAAACATAATCCCCATCTTTAAAAAGGGGGGAAAAAAAAAAAGATCCAGGAAACTACAGGCCAGTCAGTCTCACCTCTGGGCCTGACAAGATTATGGAGCAGATCCTCCTGGAAACCATGCTGAGGTACACAGAGAATGAGGAGGTGATTGTTGACAGCCAACAGGGCGTCACCAAGGGCCTGACAAATACGGTGGCCTTCTACAATGGGGTCACAAGCTGAGTGGATAAAGGAAGAGCAACTGATGTCATTTACCTGGACTTGTGCAAAGTGTTCAACACCATCCCACATGACATCCTTGTCTCTAAATTAGAGATGCATGGATTTGACAGATGCACCAGTCAGTGGATAAAACATTGGCTGGATGGTCGCACTCAGAGTGGTGGTCAACGGCTCAATGTCTGAGTGGAGATGGGTGACAAAGTGGCATTCCTCAGGGGTTAGTACTGCCTAACATCTTGTCAGTGACACAGATGGTGGGATCGAGTGCACCCTCAGCAAGTTTGCTGACAATGCCAGGCTGTGTGGTGCGGTTGACACCCTGGAAGGAAGGGATGCCATCCAGAGGGACCTGGACAGGCTGGAGAGGTGGGTCACTGCCAGCCTCATGGAGTTCAACAAGGCCAAGTGCAAGGTCCTGCACCTGGGTTAGGGCAATCCCAAGCACAAGGACAGGCTGGGTGGAGAATGGATGGAGAGCAGCCCTGAGAAGGACTTGGGGGTACTGGTGGATGAAAAGCTGAACATGAGCTGGCAGTGTGCGCTGGCAGCCCAGAAAGCCAACCGTATCCTGGGCTGTTTCCTGAGCAGTGTGTCTGGCAGGCTGGGGCGGGATTCTCCCCCTCTAGGTAGGATCTCATGAGATCCTACCGAAAGTACTGTGTCCAGCTCTGCATCCCTCAACAGCAGAAGGATATCAACTGGTTGGAGTGAGTCCAGAGGAGGCCACGAAGATGCTCAGAGGGCTGGAGCCCCTCTGCTATGGGGACAGGCTGAGAGAGTTGGGCTTGTTCAGCCTGGAGAAGAGAAGGCTCCGGGGAGACCTTATAGCACCTTCCAGTACCTGAAGGGGCTACAAGGAAGTTGAGAGGGGACTTTTTACACGGGCCTGTAGTGACAGGACAAGGGGTAATGGGTTTAAACTTGTAAGGCATGTATTTAGGTTGGATATCAGGAAGAAGCACTGGAACAGGTTGCCCAGAGAAGCTGTGGATGCCCCACCCCTGGAAGTGTTCAAGGCCAGGCTGGATGAGGCTTTGAGCAACCTGGTCTAGTGGAAGGTGTCCCTGCCCATGGCAGGGGCGTTGGAACTGGATGATCTTTAAGGTCCCTTCCAACCCTAATCATTCGGTGATTCTGCAATTCTAAGAGAGACACATACTGTGACTGACCAATAAACCCTCAAAATTGAAGGTTCAGTTGAGATGGGGAAAGGTGATGTGGCCATGAAGCTCACAGAACACCACAGGCTGTCAGTGACCACAGCTGTTGCAAAGAAACCTATGCAGAAGAACACTTACGTTATTTGAGTGGATTGAGTAGTGGTATAAATGTTTCTCCCTGTATTCATTAAGAGAGTGTGAAAGTCTCCTCAAGTTAAGCCAGACCAGCATGGGAGGAGTGGGGCTCACCCTAAGGGACTCTAAAAAGCCAGACTAGTCAAAGAATTTCAGTAAGAGAAATGGGCTTGAACGGGTTTCAAGCCACAGCAACTGGAGAGGCCCAGCATTGTGATAGTGAGCATGTTAAAAGAAACTGGTAATGGGAATTAATGAGAATCACTTTGGTACTGTGACTGAACTGTGTATCACAGTCACTGTATTCTAAGTGCAAGTTACATTTGTATTTTGCTTTCAGTACATTTTGTACCAGTCTGCTAAATCAGAAGTCCTGTGTAACATCAACTATCAAGTAAATCTGGTATTAAACACTACACCCTTCACAAGTAGAATATCTAAAACCACCTGGTCAGAGAGCACTGGACACTGATGCATATCAATGCTCACTATCTTCAGCTGTGTTTCCAATCCACACCAACTTTTCTTGTAGTAACTACCACTTAGATTCAGAAATACTGCAATTTCCTTCCATACTACAGCAAGAATGGGTTGGATAAAGAATGCATTTTTCAGGACAACAGAACAGATTATGCCATCATAGCATAAAGTACCTTTTTTGTGTCGTTATAAAGATGTGATGTACATCCTGCGAAACAGGGAGAAAAGTACTGGACTTGATCTCTGCCACAAACTGGGTAGTACACAGAGTGCAAACATCTGCAGTTGGCATTGCATGGTGCTGTTAAGTTATATAGCATGCCTGTTCTGAAAGGTAAAAGTTAAAGTTACTTAAAACCATCAGATATCTAAGTAAGTAATTCAGTATTTAGAGGATAATAAATTTAAAAATACTCAATTTGAGTGCATAAATCATCCATTTGTTTAAAAATAAGCCATGTCCCTAGTAGTTACAAGTCTAGAAGGAATTCCCATTTATTCTGTACCTAATTTTTGTGCTATTATTACTTCCACAGATTATTCCTCCAATTTCCATTCACAGACCAGAAGAAATACTGTGCCTCAACCCAATTCTTGTCACATGTCATCTATTCCCTCCTAAGCATTTATACACTTGATTTTGTTCAATTTATTTTTAAGAAAAAATGCAACAAGATTAAAAGCAATGCTTAGTGTTTTTTCTACCGATCATATTCCAAGGTATTTTTTCATGTTTTGGATTCAAGAGCAGTTGCAAGCACACTCCTTTTTTCTGGTTTTAAATATGCTACACATACTGTCAGTAGTTTAAATATTATACTGTAAACTGAAAGTTCCAGATTCATTACTTAAAAGGCATGTTTCTTCAAGAGAATTTAAGATGGTCACAAATACTATAAGGAAAAATAGTTTATCTAGAAAATAAGCTGATTACTTATACCAAATTCAAACAGCACATGGAATTCATTTGGTTGTAGGGCAGCTGAACTTTAGTAAGTAACATAAGTTCATTCATAGAAGAATCAAAGTTAGTTTGCTCCAGCTGAATGCACTGCAGTGCACCATAAACAAATCCACTAATCACAAGTTTGTCCATACATTGCCTTTTCAGCTTATCAGGCAAGTCAAACCTAGAAGTATTTAATCAGTACAGAAGCAACATTTGTCCTGTTCACATGTGCAGACAGTATCTCTTCCCTTATCTACAGAGGAACTGCACCTTTAGTTATGCATAGTCAGAGAAAGATATTAAAATATATAAGAAATACAATTTAGTGTACTTAGTTTGTTATGACATGGAACTTATTGTTCTAACAGCACTTTTCTAAAGAAGCCTAACAGATGAGGCCATTAAATAGTCTTTAAAGATCTATAGGTTGGGTATTTTTTCACAGGAAAATAAAACAAGGACTCCCAGAGCCTCGTGGGAATGAAGAGAACTCAGAAATAGTCATGGCATTACTGTTTGTTCATGTTTTCAAGGAAATACTGGGCAAGAGAATCTGGCAAAACCAATTATTTAAGTGTTTACTAGATGAAGTAAACCATATAAGTTCTGCTTCTAGCCTAATTAAGTAACAGTTACTACAAACAATATACCTTGTTCATTAACATCTGAACTCAAAAGGGCTCCTGTATTCATATAGTTCTGGTACTGAACTTACAAGCGTTTCCCCCATCCCTCAACCTCCAGGCTATTTTTTAATAGAGAAAATGTTTTCCACAAAGGATTTGCTCAAAATCTGTTGTAAAATTTCTTCACCAAAAAAACCCCACCCAAACCCAACTCTGCATCAATTTCCAAGTCAATTCTCAGAGTACTCATAACTCTTTCAGGAGCATTTGTGCGATAGCCTAAGCAGGAGCCAGACACTTGGTTATTCTTCCACAAGATTGTAGATTTGTTAAAGCTACTACTACATACTTTAGTTGCTTATTCCTACATGAAAGTACTTTAATATCTGGCACTATATTAGTGCCAGTAACTATTCTGATGCAGGTATCATGCAACAAACTGTAGTCCAACATGTAACAATGAATTAGATAAGACTGAACCCTTTTCTATAACGGATAGTGAGTGGAGAGTGGTATTTCAGGATTGGTTAACCCCACCTTGCTGTAGATAAGAGGTCTTCAGCAACAGTTAAGCTACCTAATCACCACAGTTACACAAAAAACTATTAACTACACATTAACTGCATTTAACTTAATGACTAAAATCAATTCACCTGTACCTTTTGCCAGCTGCTCACTGTCACAGGACCTGGTGTAAATATCTGGATAGCTTCACATACTACTTTCTATACAACATTCAGTAGTCAATTGCTACATACAGATTCTTTTGCTCAGTATGTAACTATAAAATTCTCACAAGCCAAGTCTGTATACCAGTTTTCACAGTTCTGAAGTGCCCACAGTCATCATCTTACGTGTTTTCAGACACTGAAGCCAAGCCATGTTTTAAGTGTCAAATGTCAACACTGGCCTTTGAATATACTGTCAATTAACAGAGCAAGTTGTAAAGATGAAATCAGAATGAGACAGTTACTTAGGACTTAAGGACTTTTCCTCCCCTGCCCCAGTGCATAAGTTTGGTTTATTCTTTTTGGATATCTTCTGGAAAATGACACATAAATGAATGGTTAAGGTACCATCATGGCATTAAATTTCTACACCATTAGAGAACTGGAAGCCTGACTGCCTTCAGCCACTACTGCCTCCAAGTCCTTTGAATCTCTGTTCCATTAACCTAAGGTTATCTATTTTACCTAAATGAGAACTCAAATATCTGGTTAGTCTTTCATGCCATTTTTAGGGAAATATTGACAAATATTACAAAGTTATGTCAGTGGTTTCCTTAAAGGCCCTAGGGAAATTAGGAGCCTTTATACCTCAGGATATTTGTGGACTTAGTTGTCCCCATGAGTAATATGTGATTTTCTTGTGTTCTTTTGTTTGCTCTATGTTCATTGTAAGTCAAAGTGTTAAATATCAAGCAAAGAAACCATATAAGCCTAACTGTTGATTAGATGTTTATAATTTTTTCCTAGAAGTATTCCCAAATTGCATGAGCATTAGAGGCTACAAATGCCACTTTCCCCCCCTGCACCCATCTTCCACATTTTCATAGTACACTTCAAGCTGTGGTGTCAGTGAAGTGCAAAGATCCTCTTCCCCATCCTATTTAGGTTCAAATGCCTTTTTATGCATTATGCATAACTTACAGATTCTGCTTTTGTACAAAACAGTATTCCTAACCCTTCTCTAAAGCAGGTAATTTGGGGAAAAGAATAAAAAAAAAAGAATTGGTGAGTTATTCACCCAGTTGCACAGCATGCTGCTCATCTTTATGATTTTTTTTCAGGAGGCAGCTAGCAGTCCCTAGCTACCCACCTACCAGTGTTATTTTGCACAACAGCATCTGGCTCTTGGGCTGGCCCTCAAACAGCAGGAGTTGCCTCTGGCTCTGTCAATTCATGACAGTAACCAACCACTTGGGAGCACAGCTTTGGCACAATTGGCTGCCTTCTGCCTGCTTTTAAACACTGTTCATGCTACAAAAGTGTGCACTATTTAAAAGTAGAACTGAAATATAATCTTATAGTTAATTCCTCAATAAGGCACGATCAGGCATTTTATACAACATCATGTCTATGGTGGTGATTTGATCACATACATTCAATGTGAGAGTTTTAAAAGTGGACTTAGAAAGCCTCTAAGAATGCTTATACTTGCAGATATTTTTAATTTTGTTTCATGTTTGCTCTCACTTTTCCACTTCTTTTCCCCCAGTGCCAAACTGGTTTCAAAAATGGGTTTAGTTCCCCTATACAGAAAGAACATCCATCCTAGAATTATGACAATTATCACAAATATCTAAAATGAGTTATAGACTGCATTCTCTTCAGGAATGAGAACTGTGTTGCTTAAGGGAAAGAAAAGTACCTATTGTTTAAAGGATTCTTCTCTGTACATTAGCCAAAAATATTCTGAATTACGTTTCAGTTAACTGTGTTACTCCACCCATTTTAGTCTTCAACTTGGGTCACTAAACTATGCTCTCTGTGCATTAAAATTTCTTCCTATATAAAGTCATTTGACCAGAAAATTAAAAAAAAAAAATAAAGAGCCTCTTTTGTAAATGGAAGCTAGATGTGCTAGGGCCTGATGCTACAATAATGTCTTTGTTTTTCTAGGGAAGAATTTGCCATCAGTTTAAGTTGCAGTACACCCCAGTGCCCTCATGAAATTGTTCCTGGGAGGAGTCTGCCATGTGCAACAAACTGCCCATATTTGCATCAAGAGCTGGTTAATAAAACAAGATGCAGAAGACACTACTTCTACAGAGATACAGAAGTCAGCTGAAGTAAATACCATGGTTACTACACCTAGAATGGTGACAGAAGCCCAGATTTTTTGTCGAGCAGGACCAGTCTGCTCAGAACATTTTGCAGGCAGTGTATCGTTACATCTTCTTAATCATCTACTATGTGAAGATTTCAAGAACAAGGCTTTAGAGTTCCACAAAACATTTCAGTTTCATACATCAAGACAAAATATGACATTTTTAAAGGTTTTGCATTCTGTGATGCAGCTTACTTCTTTTAAAAACATTAACACAAAACCCAAGAGTGCATTAAAATATATTTACCCATTATATGTTTCAGAGACACCTGCGAAAGGTTCATTCCCACATTTAGCAAACAAAAACACTGTGTTTAATAGTAAGGCCACTGAACAAGTGCCTATTATGAACTTGATTATGCTTTTGCAATCCATTTTGCACTTGGAAACCAAGATGCCACTTATGATTTGGCCTAGTGCTGCTGCTGGAATTAATACAAGTCCTAGAGGAAAACAAGACACCAGCAATTACACAAAAATGCAAGATATAATTAGCAAAACAATTTTATGTCAAGGAAAAAAATCACTGCAGTTACCTGTATCTCAAGATGCAGTCCATGTGATGTCATTTTGAAACCATCCTAGTCAAATCTGTCAGCATGAGTAATTTATTCTACCTTTACATTATCCTTAGCCTTTCTAGAAGTTTAACTTGTCAGCATAATTTATAGTTGTCCAAAACCCAAGTTCAACACAGCAAAGCTAGATTACTTCAGACTATGACATATTGGGCAGGAATCTCTGAACACGAGTAGGCCACTTCCTCAAAATAGGAAATGCTTTCATTGATTTTATGTTTGTGGGTTTGTTTTTTTCTACATGTCCATGTTCTTTGTTATACACTGGTGATAGGAACGTTTTAATAAACAAGCATAATCACTATTATGCAAGAGACAGCACAAGATACAATAATGCATCTACAGAAAAATTAAACAAGTCTAGATGAGTGGGTTAGTTTTGCTGTCATAGTCCTTAATGTTTTATCTGGAGAACTAATAGTGCAAAGAGGATAAACAGTTGCATATTTTCATATAGCTAATCTACAACACAACACAGGACTCAGCGTAACTTCCACTGACTTGAGACAGTTCAGGTACAGAGGCAGGACTGCGCAGGCCACACACCCACAGTCAAAGGTAGCTTAAATAGTTAACACGGCCATTGGTAACAGAGAGCCGGCCCAACAGTCGGTCAGGTACGGCTAGCTTTCAACATTACTGCAAGCGTTTCTTTAAAGCTGCACATTTGATTAACACTTCCAATATTTTCAACTCAAATTAAAAGAAGTTCAGACAAGGTCTACAGAAAAAAGGAACATTTAATTTTACACCGTACTGCTGATTACTATTTAACAATTATTAAGCATGCATTCCAACATATTCTATGTAACTCTAACTTTGTAGATACTTTGTTTTGAAGCAGTGATGTCTGAACAGTGACAGTACTCTCTAGTATTAGCCAGGGGAGTTAAGTCATACATAAAATCCCTTCCCAAACACACTTCTGTTACAGAAAGCACTTCAACTAGCATATGGTTATCCTACAGTGCTAAACAGCTGAAGTAATTTAGCAGGACATCTTCCAGAAATATTGTGTCATATTGCAAGCATCTGTTGATCTATCTGCCTTGATCTAGCTGCTGTTCTTCAGAAGGAATTGTGTCAGTTAATCATGTGACCATACATAGTGCAGCTCTTCCCCCAGATTCTTCTATTTGTTTCTCCAATACCCCATTCCCCTGTTCTAACCATTACTTCTGCATATCAGACAACAGGAGTAAGTGACAGCGAGCCAACTATAAAAGCAGGTACACAACAGTTTCATAATACATTCAAATTAGTCATTTTACTGTAAGCTATTATGGGCTGTCACGTAACAGAACATCATGGTGGAACTGAAAAACAAAGGCCACATCAACCCCCTACAGAGTAAGCACAGCTTCTTTGCCAGCTGCCCTTCATCTCAATTCTTTTAGTAGGGATTAAGGGTTAATGCTCCTTCAGCTGCTTTAAATGAGGAAAATTAAATGGGGTTTTGCCAAGAATAAGTAAGGAATACATCAGTTTCTGCAGCACACAAAATTCTCATTCTACTTTGAACAATGAGTATCAAGTCTTCTGAACCTACAGACAAGTGGATCTGCACCCTTGCTGAATAAGTACCAGAATTTTCATAGGGCAGGCAAGAATAGTATAAAAATACTGTTTCTGCCGTGAAGACTGCATTTCATATACATATATTCATAAATGTCCTAGACAAAAGCAAGGTGACTATATAAGCTTCCACCTGTCATGTTAAATACATTGTGCTGAAGACCTCATTAAGATTCAAAATTAAAAGCCACATTACCTCCAAGAGTTGATGAAAAACTTGATGTCTTTCCAAACTGATTTTCTATAAACTTTGGTAGAAAGGTGGCAAAGCCAGTGGCAACTAAAGCTTCTGAAGAACTGGCTATTATTAGACTCATAAGCACTGGATTCTTCAGCAGTATCTAGGGGGAAATTAGCATACCTCAGGAATGTTGTACCATGTAAAAGAAGTCACTGTATGTTAAAGCAAATACTCTCATGTGCAAGTTCACCAATATGTTTTTCTTAATGCATATTCATTTTGTCAATGATTAGGAGTGCTAAAGTATCAGTAGCATGGAGACTTCTCTATCAGAACACAGTAAAGCAGCAATTACCTTTCTGAACACATATGTATAAATAATTTCATTTCTCACACTATATCATTTTTTAGTAAAGGCAAGATTTGCTTACCAGAAGAGCCACAGGAAAGTCTTTAAAATTTTTTCCAATATTCTTGGTCTTAACAAGCACCTCACTTCCATCATAATGAGTTTCAGATATTTTTTCAGCCTGTATTTTTGCTGTTCCTACAGATGGGAATATTTATTGACAATGAAAACATTAAATACCTGAGCTCTTAGTCTTAAACTTGGAAAATGCAAAGTGTTTCCTTTCCTTGGAAAACTAGCTCAGACACTGTAAGTCTTCTTGAATGTTTTGTCTGTACAGGTTCAGAAAAAGATCAATAATGTATTGCTTCAGAAGAATTTGGCTGAAAGCAGCATGCTTCCATTGGAAGGCTTTGGATGTAAGAAGATATTATCAGGGATATCCTAAGCATTTCAGACTATCCTGAAGCCCACACAATTTATTTTTTTTAAAATCAGTCTCACATTCTCCTCAGTTCCCTACTTCACTGTTTCTTTTCAGCTATTATTTATCTTTCCCAGATAAGCACAGTAAGTTCCTTTAGATACTCTTCCAAGGGACTTCTAGATAATATCTACCTGAACAGAAATTACATTGAGATTATTCTTAGAAGACTGTTCTGGGATACTTTGATTCATGCTTTATTAGTGCACCCAAAACAATAAGGCAGCAGAGTCGAAGACAACAACACATGAGTTAAGTCAATGGAACTTCCTTATGATTCCTGGAGGGCAATATAGCTGCTTTGCTGCTAGCATCTTCCCAACTTTAACCATCAGCTTCTACACTCCTCCTGTTTCCAGTCCTACTGTACATCATTATGTACACAAGATGCTCTCTCTAGCCCATGTGCCTTGTTTTAAAAGGCTGTGTATTGAAAACTAGGTGTTTACCATCAGGTTTTAGCTAGACAGCTAACTGAGAAACAGACTCAAAGAGGAATCAATCACTCAGTCCAGCAGTCTAGCTCACAAGCATAAAACAAATCTTTTAGTAGCACATTATTGTTAAACATTTACCTGGTAGGTGTTTCGGAAAGCATGAAAAAGGTATTATAAGAAGCCAAATTGCAAAAAAGCATGCAAGAAACGCTATCCACCATGCTCCAAGCCAACGTGGGTCATCTTCATCCAACTTCGTACTAGAAAAATAAATTTGAAAGAATCAAGTTTACCATGCATGAATTCATATCAGAAATTTCAGATGTCAATGAGCTGAAGTTTTTTAATACTTATTAAAAAGAAAGCCTTTCTTGTTTTCTACATATATTAAGTTTACTGTACGCTTGTTTAAAGTACATTCATCAGCTCTATTACAATATTTCCATCTACCAAATGTAGCTTTCAACTCAAATTCGCTGATTTAAATACCACTATTTGGCCCTGATTTCAAGATCCTGTAGCATTACTCAGATACTGAAAAAACTGGTTTTAGAAAGAATCTTAATAATCAATAAGTTATATGAAATCCAATACAGAAGTTCAGAATGTCATTGCATTGATCCAAAGTCCCTAAAACACAGGAAATAAAAGTGTAAATTAAATTGCTGGCTGGGAGAGTAATACAATTTATAACATTATCTTTTGAATACTGGGCTATTATTCAACAGGTAGATTTTCTAGCAAGCTCTTCCCCAGGAAGTATGTAGCAGCATATCCCACCTCAGGGAAACTTTTTGCAGAAGAAATCAATAGTCACAGTCTAACCCTAAATGAGCAACTAATCAAAAAGACAAAGGATTTTTTATTAATCAGCTTTAAAATAGCTAATATCTCAAAAAGCTAGAACTAAGTGTTTTCACTACAGAGAAACTTTCACACACATTGGAGTGACTACTTACTGTGGGAAGTAACTCACTTGGTAGAAGTCCTTGTGAATGCCACTTGTTACCAAGCTAAAAGAAATTACTGAAAATGCAGTGTTTTCCAAACAAAACCCTTCCCCTTGTCACATGGAAAAAAGCTGAAGATTAATAAGAACTATTAGGAAAAGAAAATAAAAGCAAAAGACTAAGTTGTATCTTGCCTTTCTGGGAACTGGATATCAATATAAATATTAAGTAGCTGCCCTCCTAAGACATAGCCAATGGCAGGACCCAGCAGTGACATGGCATAGCCAATTCCTAGAAGAGAAAATACATCAAGTTCAACACACATTTTTAAAGCTTTCTTTTAAAGCTAGAGAGAACTGCTATGATCGCCTGATGCACAGGATTGTCTCCGCACTGAGTGGACAGCCTACTGCCAGAAAGTAAATACATAAAACTGTTAAAAGATAGTCAGGCATGGCTGCTGATCTGATATACAGTAGTTTAACACCTGCAACAGTAAAAAGCAAATTTTT